CGAATTTCCTCACTAACGTTGTTACGACTGAATCGACTTTTCAATTCTCTATCCAACGATGCCAAAACGAATTCTGTGGCTCGAATGGTTCTTGACTAACTTCGAATAAAGGCCATTTAGTTATCTCTGCAATGATGTAAAAACGAGCGTTCTTGCTCATTTTGCTCCCGAGATACATGCAAAACGCATGAACATTCGCACATTAATGACAATTAAGCCGCTATTCTAAATGAAACCAAATTTACACGACAACTTAGGTGAAACTTCTCCTATGCCCGCATCCAGGTGCCGTTCAAGTCTAAGTTCCGCAAATTGCATTTTTTTCATAATTAGTAGCGGTTTGCAATTAGCACTAACAGGTCATGTATGCTTAATTCGCTTTCAGGTTTTACTATCTCCACGCTGATTTAGTAATGGGCAATTCACTTTTTGCAAATGAATTCATCACTATTGCAAATTAAAATCGCTTTTTACATTAACGGTGTAAACGCCGAGAGGCAAATCTAAGTACCAATGTTATGCTTTCTACCGTTCTCCGCTCGTTAGCATGACGGATTTTGTTATCTTCTATTGAGCAATTGGGTTTGTACCTGCACCGGATTAAGGATTTACGGACTTTTATCGCAACATGTTACATTATTGGTTCGGGAGTTTTAATAAATTGTACTAAATTATTCATTAATTTACCAAAGAAAAGCGCTTCAGGGCTTGGATGCTCAAGCAAGAGGAAATCGCAAAAGTACAATTATAAGTCGAAGATGGTTTTGCTTGAAACTTGCTTTAAAATCGCCATAATTGAAATTTAAATAAAGAACATCGAAAGAGGGTAATTTTATATTTCTAGTAAAACAAGGGTTTGGATAGTTTGGTTTTAAATCCTGGGGGGAGCAAATTTGCGATATTTATCATAAAAGTGAACTTTTCCAAAAAATTGCCAGCAATTTAGGTAGTTTTACAGCCATAATAATGCAGCGAAATTATTTTAATTTGGAAAAATTTCCTACAAATTTTTCACGATTGTTTTATTTACTGCCTAACACCAACAAAAGTCTCAAGTTTTAATATACAAATCTCGTCTGTCTTTCGCTTGGGGTAATTTACTGTAAAACTCCTCAAATCGCCAAACGATTGAAACTTTAAGAAGATAAAGAACACATTTGCGTCTATAAAATGATTTAGGTAAGTAACGTGAATGTTCTTGGTTGTTAGGGATTTTTCAAACATTTGCTGTCTCGTCTGGAGCAATAAAAGCTAGCAGAAACTAAAACTTCTTGATTAGTCTTTGGCTTGGATGGACTGGGAATGGAAAAAATCCATTAATTTTCATCGGGTCGTACCATCAGCTTTTAATGATGTTTCCCGTTGTATAAGCGTGTAAAGGTAACACAGTTGTGGAGTTCAAGCATGGTACGATGCATCTTGGGAAAGTAAAGTAGTACAAACCGCTTCTTCTAACGGCGAACCGAGACAGAAAGGCCTATTTACTCATTAGTTATTTTAACAGGAAACATATGGTTGCATTAAAAGCAGACGATCATCATCAGTGAATCGTTCTTGCAACTGGTAACCCCCATATGGTTCGCATTTCTAACGCCACAAACTCGCTCATTAATGGGATGTTTTTTTATTGTAATGGACAAAATGCAGTTTGATCGATAGGACAATAGCAGAAATCGCCATAAACCGTAGATCCTGTTTGGTGTATGATCAATTTTGCTGTCGCTTCCATTAACCTGAAACGGTGGATAGGTCGATTTCCGGTTGAAAACGGACGGAAGTTAATCATGATCAGATAAAACACGAAACTCCCTATACTTTTGTGACGAGTTAAAAATAGATACCCTGTGCCATTTGCCGTTTTATATTTTCAGCTTTGCGCTAAAATCGATGGCCTAAAAAGCTTAAAGAAGACATTTATTAAGCAATTAATACGTTTTAGACTTGGGGGCGGTTCGGTTTTTATTCGTTTTTTGTGCAAATTTTAGAGGCTTCGAGAGAATTACCTCATTTTGTTGGCTTGGGTTAATAACTTGAATTATCTGATGGTTTTAAGGCGAGCTTATGGGAAACCTTAAAGTGTCGTCGTATGATAGCCCCACCTTGCCACTAATCTTATGCGCAAGAATAGGCATTAACTGCATAGACAGTGTCTTACTTATTGTCGTTTTAAATCGAACTATTTCACTCATTGATCATCAGTTCATGTTTATTGAGGGGCATTTAAGTTATTTTTGGTTAAAAGACACTTGTGCCCAAGGTGATTCATATATAAAACGACCAAAAAAGCATGCTTATCCATATCTAATATAAGGCCAAGTACCTATCATCCATTTTATCAACAGGCTGACAAAATGTGACGGGCTGTTTGGTTTCGATTCAATATACCTAATCATTATCGATAGCTTATCCAATTTCGTTATCACAATTAATTTGGATGCGTCTAATCCCAACACTACAATTATCGATTCCTTACAATCTTTCGAATCTTAACAATGAGGCAAATAAAGCTCTACTGGTTATCAATCTGATGATTTTTGAGTTTAAACCTGTCGTTGACTATGCAAATAAAATTCGTTCTCACAACCTGATAAAAAACCAAATTTTATTGCCAGAATGTTGAATTTCTAAAACTGCGGTAAAATCTGAGTCGTTTTAATCAGACTCTCGAAGCTTTTAGCAAATAGAATCTGTATCAACATGTTTATACGCCCACTTCGGCTAGACCTTATTTGATTTAAAAAATATGTTTAATTCTATTCAAATCCGACACACCTTGCATGTTAATTCGCATTCAATCTCTTTGTGTGAAATGACCGTGTCTGTTCTCAACTGAGCTCTGATCGGGGGTTTGTGTTAAAGCTGGCTTTGGTGGTTGGACAAAAACCTTTGTGTGGAATGAATTTATAATTAGTTTTATTTACCAAACTTCCTGTCCATCAATCTAATACGGTTTAACAAATCACACAGAAATCTACTGATGTTTACTTGAGGGCCCCCTTCGCATATTGTACAGAAAGGCCAATTTTAGGAAATTGTTCTTTCATACAGTGTGTTTCCTTTCTAGACGCGACAGGTAAATGTTTAGTGTATTTTATGGCGAAAAAATCACATAAATCCCCCATTAGTTCCAACGAGTTAGTTGGAAAAATGTATTTTTTAGAAATGTGCGAAAATTGTTTTTCGGGGCAGAGTTAAACATTTTTTTCGAGACTGATATTTACTAAGCTAGAAAACATTGGATTTTTCTAGATTTTTATGAAACTATCGGCATCTGTAGAGTCAAGTGTCTTCTAAAGATGGTCAAATTTGCAAGTCGTTAACTGCTTTAGTTCAGACGATGTGAATTTTTAAAGGAGAGAGCGCAATTGAGTAAAAACATCAAATTTTAAACCGATATTTTTTAACCTGGCAAAACTTAGGATTTCGGGTAATTTTAATGAAACTTTCAGCATCTGTAGTCAAGTGTCTTCTAAAGATGGTCAGATTTTCAAGTCGTTATTTGCTTTAGTTTAGAAGATGCGAATTTTTAAATGAGAGACCGCAATTGTGTAAAAACATCAATTTTGAAACCGATATTGGTTAAGGTGACAAAACTGAGACTTTGTGGCGATTTCAATGAAACTATCACCATCTGTAGAGTCAAGTGTCTTCTAAAAATGGTGAAAATTTCAAATCTCTACTTTCTTTAGTTACGAAAATACGATTGTTTACGGTAAATAGCGCACTTGGCTAAAAACGTCAATTTCGAAGCTGATTTGCTAAGCTGGCAAAACTCAGAATTGGGAGCGATTTTAATAAAACTTCTACTATCTGTAGAGTCAAGTGTCTTCTAAAGATGGTCAAATTTGGAAGTCGTTACCTGCTTTGATGTAGAAGATGCGAATTTTTAGAGTATAGAGCGCAATTGAGTAAAAACATCAAATTTTAAACCGATATTTTTAAACCTAGCAAAACTTAGAATTTCGGGTGATTTTTATGAAACTTTCAACATCTGTAGAGTCAAGTGTCTTCTAAAAATGGTGAAAATTTCAAATCTCTACTTTCTTTAGTTACGGAAATACGATTTTTTAAAAGTAAATAGCGCACTTGAGTAAAAACGTCAATTTCGAAGCTGATTTGCTAAGCTGGGAAAACTCAGAATTAGACGCGATTTTAATGAACCTTTCAGCATCCGTAGAGTCAAGTGTCTTCTAAAGATGGTCAGATTTTCAAGTCGTTACTTGTTTTAGTTTAGAAAATGCGAATTTTTCAAGCAGATACAGTGTCAAAAAACTAGACATTTTCATTGTTTTTTCTTGTAGTTTTAGATAGGTCCAATTTGGTACACTATATGTAAAAATGCTTTGATTATAAAAACACATTTTTGAAATTAAAAGAAAATTACAGAACCCATCATGGATGAAACCGTATGGGCTCGTGACCATAAGGAAGGGTTCGTCCTTGGTCGAATTAGTGAAATAACTCCCGATGGTGCCGAAGTGATTCCACTTGATCCGAAATTTGCCAAAAAAGTCCTGCCATTCAGCGACATTTTCCGAGCCAACGTAGTCAAAGGCAAAGACTACGATGACAATTGCAAGTACCTTTAATTGACCAACTAAACTTGCCCTAACGGCACTTTGCTTGATTCTAGGCGAAATGATGTTCCTGAATGAGGGCTCGTTGCTAGACAATATTCGCACCAGATATTACAAGAATAAAATTTATGTAAGCCATCTCTATCCATCCAGGATAGGATTGAAGTTAATTTTACGCTATTTTCAGTCTTACGTAGCCAACATTCTCATAGCAGTTAATCCGTATAAAGATATTCCAGAACTGTATGCCACGAAAACCATTAAGGCCTATCAAGGCAAGTCGTTGGGCGAATTGCCTCCGCATGTCTTTGCCATTGCTGATAAGGCATTTAGAGACATGAGAGTGTTCAAACAGTCGCAATCGATTATAGTTTCTGGAGAATCTGGGGCAGGTAAACCGCAGCAAAAGTTCCCTCTTACGCAATTGGTGCTCAACATTTTTTAAAGGTAAAACTGAATCTACGAAGCATTTACTAAAGTATCTGTGCGAAGGCGGCGGAGCCGGTCCGATAGAGCAAAAGATTCTGGATGCTAATCCGGTGCTGGAAGCTTTCGGCAACGCCAAAACCACCAGGAATAACAACAGGTTTTATCCAAAAAACCTACTCAGTCAGCTTGCATAATTCGCTTCCTTTGCAGCTCGAGATTCGGGAAATTTATCGAAGTGCACTTCGACAAGAAGTTTCAAGTAGCCGGCGGCCACATTTCCCACTACTTGCTGGAAAAGAGCAGGATCTGCTCGCCGCTAGGCGAAGAACGAAGCTACCATATATTCTACATGCTTATGGCCGGCGGCCCTGAGGGATTAAGGCAGAAGTTAGGCCTGACCAAACCCGATGACTACAACGTGAGTTAAAACCTCAATGAAAAATACAAATTTTTTAGCAGAACTTCCTCTAATTCTAGTACTTGAAAAACGGCTGCACCAGATATTTTGCCAAGCCCGCAACTGAAAAGATTCTATCGCCCGGCCAGAAAAGTGCCGCCCAGCTTAAGCAAGGCTCATTAAAGGACATTCTAATCGACGATCTGGAGGACTTTAAGGAGCTGGACCTGGCATTATCACGCTTGGGGATGTCGGAGGTTGAAAGGCTGCAAATTTATACCACTGTGGCTGCCGTTTTGCATTTGGGGAATGTTGGTAGGTTCACTCCTCACCTCAATACCTCAAGGATTGAGATACAACGTTTTTGTATAGAATTCGAGGATAACCCAGAAGACACTCGAGGAGGCTGCCGAGTGGCTAGAAGTGGAGAAAAGGCGCTAATCACAGCCTCAAAGTTGCTGGAAATCGACCCTGAAGAACTGAGGCAGGCGTTGGTGTCTCGGGTTATGCAAAGTGCCAGAGGAGGCCTCAAAGGCACTGTAATTATGTAAGCAGCCTTAATCAGCCTGAGAAAAATGGAACACAAACAGTGATTTGCAGGGTTCCTTTAAAAATTCACGAAGCCAACAATGCCAGGGACGCTCTGGCCAAAGCAATCTACAGCAATCTATTCGATTACATTGTTAGCAGAATCAATCAGAGCATCCCCTTTCAAGCCTCCAGCTACTATATCGGAGTGCTTGATATTGCAGGGTTTGGTAAGCCAGCAACTCAACCATTCAACTGCTTACTTACTAAAATATTTTCAGAGTTTTTCACTGTGAACAGTTTCGAGCAGTTTTGCATAAACTACTGCAACGAAAAACTGCAGCAGTTCTTCAACGAACGCATCCTGAAGTTCGAGCAGGAGCTTTACAAGCGGGAAGGCTTGAGCGTGCCGGAAATTTCGTTTACAGATAATCAAGACTGCATCGATGTGATAGAAGGGAAAACCCAAGGAATTTTTGCACTACTAGACGAGGAGTCAAAATTGCCCAAACCGTCCTATGCACATTTTACCGAATCCGTGCATAAAACATGGGGCAAAAACTACAGGTAGCCAATTCACCAGGAAAATAATCTCGAAACTTACGGCTTCGTTTTCATCCAGGCTAGGATTACCCAGGTCATCCAAACTGAAAGCTCATCGGAGTATTAGGGATGACGAAGGGTTCCTGATCAAGCATTTTGCCGGCGCCGTGTGCTATCAGACTGTAAGTATTCAAAACCGCGCTGAAAATCCGCTGAACTCCTATGGGTTTAGAAACAATTCATCGATAAAAACAACGACGCTCTTCACGCCTCACTGGAGGGGATCATCCAGGACAGCAAGAACAAACTCATTCAAACACTCTTTGCCACGTCAATGGCGCAAAAGGGCAAACTTACCTTTGTCAGTGTCGGGAGCAAGTTTAAATCGCAGCTTCAAGAGCTGCTGGAAAAGTTAAGGAACAACGTAAGCGAAACACAAATTTTCTCGGAACTGACTTAATCATGGATGTTGTTCCCTTGCAGGGAACCAACTTTATTCGTTGCATTAAACCCAATAACAAAATGGTTGATCATCAGTTTGATGGCAGTTTATGCCTGATGCAGCTTACCTGTTCGGGTAACTATTTTCCCATAGTACCTAAACATCTGCTCATAAAACTCTCAATTACAGGAATGGCATCAGTTCTCGAGCTAATGGAGCATGGCTTCCCCAGCCGAACTCCTTTTGCCGATCTCTACAACATGTACAAGGAGTACCTGCCTAACGACTTGAAGAAATTATCGCCTAGAACATTCTCAGAGGCAAACACTTCCATACAGGCTCAGTTCGCCGAATTATAAATCAAAACTCTCATTTCAGGCGATTCTTCATAGTCTAAAGCTAACCGATAAGGACTTCAAATTCGCTATCACCAGAGTGTTCTTCAGACCGGGAAAGTTTGCCGAGTTCGACAAGATCATGCGATCCGACCCAGAAAACTTAAAATCAATCGTTTCGAATGTTAAGAAATGGCTGGTCAAATCGCGATGGCTCAAAGCGCAGTTCTGTGCCTTGACTGTTATTAAAAGTGAGACTTGGTTCACATGCACATCAAATGTTTCAATTCCCAACTTTGTTTTTTTCAGTGAAGAACAAGATTGTTTACCGCCGCAAAGCCTTAGTGGTGATTCAGAAGAACGTGCGTGGATACTTAGTAAAGAAGAAATATGGAATGCGAATCAAAACAGTGAAGAATCTTCGCTTGATGGATGGCAAGCTAAAGCAACTGGACGCAATCGCTCAGCAACTGAAGAGCGATAAAACCAGCAGCATCAATGGCATTAACCAACTGAAGTTGGAAGTGAACGCAGCCATCGGCAACATTAAGGTGAATATTAATGGCCCACATGCGAAACGGCAAGCAGTTGATATGGAAATGATTTGCAGAAAAACGAAAACATTGATAATAAAACTGTTGAAAACCTGTACAGTAACTTGGTGCTGAAAATCGACCAGCAGATGTCCACATTGCAGAAGAAGGTTCAGGAGCAGAAGAGCCGAGAAGAGCAGGAAAGGTATGTTGTCTAGTTAGCTTTTTGCAGCTTGGGGGTTAATACCACTGTGTTGAGTAGGCTGCGCAAAATCCAAGAGGAGATGGAAAAGGAGAAGCGCATCAAGGAAGAGAACGAGAGGCGAGTGAGGGAGGAAGAGGAAAACCGAAAGAAAAAAGCTGAAATGGAGGCCAAACGGAAGCTAGAAGAAGAGGCCAGGCTTAGACAGGTGAGTTTTTCAAGCATTACTCCAAACTACCTTTAATAATTGTGGTTCATTCAGGAAAGGGACATTTACAACCTGCAAAAAGTAACTCAAGTAAGAAATGCATGCTTGAAGCTTCACCTGATTTGCTGTGAAATAACTGCTTAATACAATTTTGCAAGCATGCTCTTCTGTCTATGAATTATGCGCATTTCTTCTACCAAAACCGGGTATAATTTTCGCAGGAAGCAACAGACAAAAAAATTGCCCTTGAACTGCAACAGCAGCAAGCGAAGTTGGAACAGGAGGAACGCTTATATCAAGAGCAACTGGAACAGGAGCGACAAGATCGTGAGTTGGCGCTCAGATTGGCCCAGGAAACCAACGGACAAATCGAAGAAAGTCCACCATTGGCTAGAAAGTATGTATTTAACTTTTGGATGTTTGGAAACGTTGCAAAAGTCCCCCTAGTTGCCCTTTTTTTTACTGATGATATATAGAGTATTTCATGTACATAATGTAAAAATAGGGAAGGTGGTAGCCTATGTGACATGTCTTTGCTTCTTATTTTCCATGGCACCTCAGTGGAATCAACGGAACAGACTCTCAAAGATCGTCGATTAAACTCAACAGGTACAGTGTAAATAGTTGCACAACTCAAGTATTTACTCTCGCTGTTTCTTAACATGCTTAAATGTGGTAGAGAATTACTAATATGTGATTAAGTGCAATTTTTTTACCAGAGGTTTTTTGGAGTGTTACACGAAATTTGCATGAGAAAATTGGTTATTTGTCAAGTGTATGTTATTGCTATTCCTCCTAATCTAGGCTAACACCAATGGATAAATGCCGACTAACAAACTGTGGATAACATTACTAATAAAACCCAATTTTCACCCAATAAGTTGCCTAAACACAAACTATTGCTGGCAGGTCGCAACCGAGCAATCAAGTGAAAGGAAAGCACGACCTTTCGAAATGGAAGTATTCAGAATTGCGCGACACTATCAACACATCCTGCGATATTGAGCTTCTTGAGGCCTGCAGGCACGAATTCCATCGCAGGTAGAACTTTAACCAGCCCCAAATTGGCCAAAGTTATTTATATTTTATTTATCTGCTGTAGGTTGAAGGTTTACCATGCCTGGAAGGCAAAGAACAAGAAGCGCACTGTTATGAGCGAAAACGAGAGAGCTCCGCTCTCGGTGTTGGAATCGGCTCAGAAAACTCCACGGTAAAAAACCCGCACTTGGAAATTAACAGAAGTTTATCAAGTGAATTGTTCTAGATTGCCGCAGAAAGCTATTCTGGACAACAATTCGCAACGCTTCTTCAGAATTCCCTTCCAAAGACCTGGCGGTGATCCAAACAAGAGAGGTTGGTGGTATGCGCACTTTGATGGGCAATATGTGGCAAGGCAGATGGAACTGCACCCTGATAAGCAGCCTATCCTGCTGGTAGCAGGTGAAGGATACACATTTTCACCTGATTTCTGGTGCTCAAGTTCCAGATTTTATTTCAGGTCAAGATGATATGCAGATGTGCGAACTTTCCCTGGAAGAAACCGGCTTGACTCGCAAAAGAGGCGCCGAGATATTGGAAAATGAATTCAACAAAGAATGGGAAAAGAACGGTGGTAAGACTTATATCAGACCTGCCGATAGAAAATAATTCAAGCGCTGATTGGTTTGAAATCATTTAAAGTTTTGCAATATTTATGAGAACAGCTGTACAATTTCATGAGATTTCCGAGTTATACTTATACGTTTAAACCGTTGCAATCAAATTTGGCTTTACAGTATTAGATACAATTTATATTGTAATATAATTATTAATTGAAAATATATTTGACTTTCGAGTTAAACTTTGCTTAATTTTAGCAAATCTTCCCTATTCTCCTACAGTTTTAAACAACAGAATCCTTCTCTAATATTTTTTATTAATCAGGCACGTTTTACTTTTTCTATTATGCAGAGTGTTTCACAGTTGAACTAACAAAAACCTAGGGGAGATTTTCAATGGAATTAGAAACTTTGTTCGATATTTGGGCTGAGCGAAGCTCCCTTAAGCTTTTGCTACTTCAACCCTCAAACCCGCTGCATCTTTGTTATTATGAAAAGCAAATTTAACAGCTTTGAGATCTAATTAACTATATGTTATTCCATACACTTTCATACATTTAATATCTCACTATTAGGAATGCAACAGTTGAATAGGAATGAAATTTTACCTTGTCCTCTCTAAATTCAACATGTGCTTAAATCAAATTAATCACATGAGTGGGCAAACTCTTCAGCTCCCATATAGTGGATGCCAGCTTTCTGGTTTGCTCCAACACTGAAGAAGCAGTGACTAGTCCTAAATACATTACGAAAAGCTCATAGGCTCTGACTTTCTGGGCTGGCAATTTTGGATGCATTGCAGTCTTCAGTTTCCTAAGTAAAACGCGTAAGTTTCGCAGGTATAGAAGATGGAAAAGCCTTACATGTAGTAGTCCTCGTGTAAAATTCCGGGGATTTTACTTCCCAAGTCCGGAGTTAAGGTGAATTTGAGCGAATCGCCGCTGCTGTCTTCAAACCACAAAAAATAACCGTATGTGAAAATCGTGTCTTTCCATATAATCGCAGTGTGGCCCTCTTGGAGGTGCGAATGGGCAAAAGTGACCATTGACCAAATCTTGCAAATAATACCAAATAGTTCATAAATACTCCAGTAACAGCCAATTTACTTTTTTCTGTATAAACTCCGCTTTTTCAGCTTGCATATCCAAAGACGGCGTGGTCACTTTGTGCGTGTTCCTGTCTATGTACAAAAAGTGCACTAATCCAGGAAACTCTTCCAGATACTTGTGTTTGGTTAGGGAATCTTCTGTATCTTTCAATTAAGGATAAAAGGAAAAAAGCTACTACTACTATTTGGTGCCTAAAAGGATATGATCCCAGTGAGAAGTTTTTGATGCCCTTCACTAGGAAGTACTCATTAAAATCCGCCAAATCCTGCCGAACCTTCGGGATTGCTTGCAAAACGTGCGCAGCACTGCACTTTAATATCGAATCATCAACTGCAGTCAGATTGTGGATTTCTTTCAAACTATCCAGCAGATTCATTGCTAAACTTTCGGCACGCAGCAGCGCTTCATTAGATAAGGTTTTTAAATATTCCTTAATAGTCAAGGAATTATTTAGTTTTTGCCTTCCTAGGAAACAGCTTGGTTTTATTTACCCGGTATTTTCCTTTTAGAACGTCCCATTTTTTAATCAGTTGCTTCTGGGAGCTTTCCAAGTTTTTCACCTTGCATTTTTTCAAGTAACCATTCAACTTCCTGATAGAAAGATCGACGTTTTCGTACCCCATTTGAATCGAAGCCATTTCCCTTTGAACCTGAATGAATCTTAGTCGGTGTAAGTGATGAAAAGTCTCAAAAAGCGTCGCTAAAATGTATGTACTCAAACGGTAAATCTCGGGATAAGTCCAGTATTACCTGAAACCAATGGATCCCCCATTTCGACCAAATAGACTAAGAAAACTTGTGAAAGCAGTTCCACCACATGAACCGCATGCGGTAAACATTTAGGCTCCACATCGGATCCAGATAAAAGCACTTGGAAGCTTTCCAAGTGTCCAGACTCTTCAGATACGCAGTGGGTCAGTATGATGAGAAAAAGAATGTCCGCTGGGGCTAATTCTTTTGCAGGAGTGCTAAATGAGTACAGTACATAATACAGAGTGGCTAAATCTCAGATTCAAAAATGCAAAGCTACCTGGAATAAAGGGACAGGCATTTATTGTCCACAAACAAAAGTGCGTGAATCTTCGAACACTCGGGATGAACGGATAGTTTGGCAATCGATTCTTTCAGGCTTTGCAAGCATGTTGCGCTAATATCGTTATTAATTATAAGTTGTTCCAAGCCTTCGACAAATACAGCTTGATCGCGATTTCGAAGAAGAAGCCATTGGTCGATTAGACGAGTGTACAGGGTGGATTTGCAGTTATTGGTGCGCAACCTGCGAGTTTTTAGTGCATATAACGTATGTAAAATAGGGATGGTTGTTACTCACTGATAAATTTCTGGGCCGCATAGATATCGTGCGAATGTTACAAACATATCGATTAAGTTCGCAACTTTTTCGCCGGAAATCACAATAAAAACATAATCCATGAACTAAAAAAAGTATTTTTTTAGTACCCCCTTATTCAGGAATGAAACTGATGGGTTTTTAGCGCTCATCCAAGACGTCCTACAAGCCCGAAAAAGTCAACAGTTCAGTCAAGCACAGGCCTGATTGATACGATATTTAGCGAGTTGTCAGCCTTTCAGCAGTTTCATAACAGCGCAGGATTTTTTTAATGTAACATGATTCAGCTAAGCTGAAGAAACAATGTTTTTTTTTAAATACTTACCTCACGGAATTGCAGTTTAAAATCTGTATGAAACTGTATTGTGGTATACGAATTACCAAACTGAAAATGCATAATTCGATGTGAGGACACAATGGGCGAAAACAACTGTATGAAGACATTACTGTCCAGCGTTTCTTCTAGCTGCTCCTAAAACAAACTTATTATTAATTAACATTATTATTAAGAAAATTATTTAACAAATTAACGCAAAAATTAAACAAAATTAAAGTTTTGGAGACATTTTAATTAAAGGTGATCGAGTCTCCCAATTTTTAGAAGTAAAGCAAGTCTAAGGTAAAAAAGGAAAACTAAAACTTTAGAAGGACTCAAACGACACGACCACCTAAAAAAATCTTAATATCCGTAAAACTCACAACATTTGGCAACAGACTTTTCATTTAAAGAGACACGGCCACTGCGATCGATCCGGGCAGACCTTTGATCTATTACTCATGACCGTAACCCCACATTTGCAAAAAACAGCAACTTTTGCCGAAAAAACATCCTTAACAACATGAAGGCAGGATAATATAACTAAAAACCACGAAATTATTTTACGCAGGCCACGATTTATTCCGTAAACAGGCTCGGTTGGTGGCCTTTGACAAAAGATAAAGTGAGGTTAGCATTCCAGCTAACAACAACAACAGCAAGTAACTGAAAAAGTGTTTTTATAGTGAAATATCTAATAAAAATGTATAACTTGATAAAAACGGGCACTTCAAGACTATTCCCATCTGGTTTAAACAAAATTCCGAAAGTGACAACCGCGTGGCTCCGAGAAATAACCACAGAAAACAAATTTAAAATTAAGGATGAATTTGAGGGCAGGCCACTCTACCTGGACGCCCAAGCAACGACGCCCCTTGACCCGCGAGTTTTGGATGAAATGATGCCCTATTTGACCTCGTATTACGGCAACCCGCATTCGAGAACCCATGCGTATGGTTGGGAGTCGGAGGCAGCAGTGGAAAAGGCCAGATTGCAGGTATTTCCCACAATCCAGCTAAAAAATCCAATAACCAACTGTTGTTTAGGTAGCGAATTTAATCGCGGCAGACCCAAAGGAAATTATTTTCACCTCGGGCGCAACTGAAAGCAACAATATTGCGGTTAAGGGAGTAGCAAGGTTCTACGCCGCAAAAAAGAAACACATTATTACCACTCAAACCGAACACAAGTGCGTACTGGATTCCTGCAGAGCACTGGAAGCGGAAGGCTTCAAAGTTACTTATTTACCAGTGAATACTAATGGTTAGTTCTTGAAAAAAAAACACTACTCAACCCGCTACTAATCTTTGGGGCTAGGTTTAATTTCGCTGGAAGAACTCGACAAAGCAATAACACCCGACACCTCATTGGTCTCCATAATGACGGTGAATAACGAAATAGGAGTGAAGCAACCAATTGGAGAGATTGGACGACTGTGCAGATCCAAGAAAGTGTTTTTCCACACTGATGCCGCACAAGCCGCTGGAAAAGTTCCGCTCAACGTCCAGGACATGAACATCGATTTGATGTCAATCAGTGGGCATAAAGTGTATGGGCCAAAAGGCAAGTACTACAATTAAGTTTAAAGCACCTCAATTGATGGGACTGATTTCATTTGCAAGGGATTGGGGCAATTTACGTGAGGAGGCGACCGAGAGTGAGGGTGGAGGCCATTCAAAGCGGCGGAGGACAAGAGCGTGGAATTCGCAGTGGAACTGTACCCACCCCTTTAGCAGTGGGTAAGTACGAAACTACAGGGACCCATTCCTCCACAGTATCGAATAAAACACTCTAGGTGTGTTATTAAGTACCTAATTATTGATTAAAATCCAGGTTTGGGACGAGCGTGTGAAATCTCGCAGGACGATATGGAGTATGACCACGCAAGAATCACCCGACTGAGCCAGAGGCTTATGAATGTAATTTTCTCCGAATTATCGCATGTAATTAGGAATGGAGATCCTGTACATACGTATCCAGGTAAATTTCCAAAACAGTCAATCTTTCCAACGATAACCACATTAGGTAATTTCAGGCTGTATCAACTTGTCCTTTGCCTATGTGGAAGGCGAATCGCTGCTGATGGCTTTAAAAGATGTGGCCCTGTCCAGTGGATCCGCATGCACTTCAGCATCCCTCGAACCCTCGTATGTACTAAGAGCAATTGGGACTGACGAAGATTTGGCGCATAGCTCTATACGGTAGGTTTGTGTGTTTTCCTCACCTGGTTTTCTAAAGGAATTAATGCAGGTTTGGAATCGGCCGATTTACAACCGAAGAGGAAGTCGATTATACAGCAAGGAAATGTATCGATCATGTGACGAGACTGAGGGAGATGAGTCCGCTGTGGGAAATGGTTCAAGAAGGAATCGATTTGAAATCGATCCAATGGTCCCAGCATTGAGCTGATGAGACTCTGATGGACTCGAATTGTGTGTGATTATTGGAAATTGAGTTTTAATAAAGCGATGCACAAGACTATTTAGTTTGTCAAATTCAAAAACTTACCTTTAATATCAGCCCTTGAGCAAGAGCCAAGTTTTTAATGTGCTCCTCAAAGATAGCATTATGTTTCGTGAAAATCAGGTCGTTTAGATGATTGAAAATCATCAAACAATCCATGGCGGATCACCAGACCTCCAGAGTTGCTGGGGATTCTTTTAAAACACTTCACTTCCAAAGTTGATCTTTTTTAATGTTTTGTTGTCATTATTTTGAGGTTGAAGTCTTTTAGACAGATAATTTGCAAGGCCGTTTTTATATTAACATGTAAAATAATCAAAGATTTCTACACACCGAAGAAAATCCAGAATAGTTCTATTCCAGCCTACTAGAATCTAGAATATCGTGAGATAACAAATTTCACTCTATAAATTTTGTAATCTGCTGTGTAGTTGTGTTCATCTATGATCTGTGCAGAACATAACCTCAAATGCAGATAGCAGAAGTGGTGGACAAGAGTAGTCGTTGCCATTAAAAAGGAAAATACAAATACTTTAAAGGAAGTTGATAATGGAGACTATATTAGAACAGCAGAGGCGATATCATGAAGAAAAAGAGCGTTTGGTGGACACCATGGTCAAGGAAATGCTTCAAAAGAAAAATACAGTAAGTGAGCCCTAATGGCGAGTATTAGCACACATTAGCTTCTACTATGAAATGAATTCTATTTTATTTGAAAAGGAGCTACACTGTAGCTGACTATGCTCCTATAGCATGTCTAGCAGTAGTTGTAACAATATGGAAACTAGTACTGTTAAGCGATGTGAGGTAGATTCAGAATCGGGTATTTTTCGCAAAAACTGCATAACAAGCGATAATATTTGATAGCTATTTAGAAAATAAGTTTCCAAATGTTTACGCTATGGATTGAACACTAAAAAAATTAGGTAAATTTGGAGGGTTTTTATCACATCTTGTTTAAACATCGTGGACTTTAAGAATAAAAACTGTTCACTATTTGATCGGTTTTGGATGAAATAAGTGAGCGATGAAGAACATAGATTCATTTTAACAAATTGCCGCAGACTTTTACAATAAACCGCTTACTAATGGAAAATTTCAATTATTCTTTGGATGTACTTTCAACCGCCGATGTTTTCTTCATCACTTTGAACTTGCAACAAAGCCAAATAAACGTGAAACGTACAATAAACTCGAAACTTAAGAACACATCTGTAGAAGTTCACCTCAAAAATCCATAAGTTTGATTTGCCACCTTCTTGCTAACTTTCAATGACTAATTACATCAAACCCCTTGTACTCTAACAGTTAATTTGTACTTGTACCTAATTTACTCATGATTTCTTCATTGCCTTAGTACAGAGAACAAATCAATTCGGATCACAGAATGAAGTACCTTCTAGATAGATACATGACATCAACCAACAAATTGATCGATCTGTATGAAGACAAGGATGGTCAAAGAAAAGCGGAGGTTGCTTCTCTCACTGGCCCCAATGAGTTCAACGAGTTTTACAACAGATTGAAGCAAATCAAAGATTTTTACCGGAAGCATCCTAACGAGGTAAGCCAGGACAATTGATAAACATTGCGTCGCTTTAGGTAAGAAATTTTTAGATTAGTGTACCGATGTCTGTTGAATTCGATGAGCTGACAAAAGCCAGAGAAAACCCGTCTGAGGAAATGTCCAGTAAGTCCTGAAACTGTTTAATTCCTGCAGCCAAACTTATCTATTCGACTGTTACAGATTTGGTGGAATTCACTGACGAAGAAGGATACGGCAAGTTCCTGGACTTGCACGAGTGTTATGAGAAGTACATCAACTTAAAGGGAATAGAAGTGAGTCTGGAAGCCTTTGACACTCCACTAAAGTAACTGAAACCTCTGGTTGACTTGTTTTCAGAAAGTTGACTACATATCTTACATCAGTATGTTTGAGCAACTCTACGATATTCCCAAGGAGAGAAAAACAGGAGAATACCGCAAGTACCTGCTAACGCTCATTGAATATCTTTCCTGGTTTGTTCAAAGAATTAAGCCACTTCTGGATATAGACGCTCTTCTGGACGACGAAGTGCAAAAAACCGCGCTAGAATGGGAAGCAGGCAATTGTCCTGGTTGGCCTGTAAGTAATTCAAGCTCAACTATTTTAAAACTTAACTTAAAGCCTAATTATTCCAACAGAAAGAAACTGGTTCAGCCCTAGCCAATGTCGGTGCTCATCTGGATTTATCGGCATTTTCCAGCTGGGAAGAATTAGCATCACTTGGCTTGGATCGGCTCAAATCTGCCTTGATGGCTTTGGGCCTTAAATGTGGCGGGTAGGAAACACGCGTTTGGTGCTGAGTTTTCATGTAGTTATTAATCGATTTTTGCAGAACTCTAGAGGAAAGAGCTCAGCGGCTGTTCTCTACAAAGGGGCAGAGTTCACTGGACCCCTCTCTTATGATTAAGGGAACAAAGGGCAAAGCCAATAAAGGAAAGGAGGCCCTTCGTCAGAAAGAGCTCGCTGGCTTGGAAGCCCAAATTTATAGGTAAGAACTCGGTCCCAAGTTCAGAATCAAGCTAATAAAATTATTAAAGGCTTTCGGAGTTGGTGAGTGAACAGCGAGTGGCTACTAAAGAAAACGTGCAGCGTAAACAAGCCAGAACAGATGGCGAAAGAGACGATAGCGAAAACGACGAGTCTGATAACGAAAGTCCTGATGAAGCCGATGATGATGTTCCGTATAATCCAAAGAATCTTCCACTTGGATGGGATGGAAAGGTAGATTTCCCATCACCTAACAATTCGTAACTACAACTTTTTGTCCTTGCAGCCCATTCCGTATTGGCTCTACAAGCTACACGGCTTGAACATTAGTTACAACTGTGAAATCTGCGGCAACTACGTCTATAAAGGACCAAAAGCCTTCCAGCGGCACTTTGCCGAATGGAGACATGCCCATGGAATGAGGTGTTTGGGAATACCGAATACTGCTCATTTTGCGAATGTTACTCAGATTGAGGATGCTCTAGCTCGTAAGTTAAAATAGTCAGGATGTAATTGAAATGTCTACAGGAAATTATTGTTGCAGTGTGGGAAAAGTTGAAAACTCAAAAGCAGAGCGAACGATGGCAACCGGAAACCGAAGAGGAATATGAGGATTCTCAAGGGAATGTGGTTAATAGGAAAACGTATGAGGATCTTAAGAGACAAGGTTTACTTTAAGTTTTTTAAATTTTTATTTAAATGGCGGTTATGGTTAGTTTTTGTAAAGAACATTCAAAGCTTCATCAAGCAACGGAGTGGAGTATTGGCTAAATTTTAGGAAATAAAGCTGTGAGAATATCACTTATTTTCCACATCCACCGCCGCCACATTTACTTTTTTTGGGTGGTCTGTAATTTGAGGAACTCCCTGGCCCCATGAGTGGATGATATTCTGATAATTAACAGTACATTTAATTTAAGAAAAGCATTTTGAGTATATTCTATCTACCTGGTCTGAAAGGCTTTGATTCATCCTTTCCTTTGTCATTAGAATTCCCTAGTCTGTGTCCTTTGTCTGATTGATTCAGGAGATTTTCCACTTCTTGTCTCTTGCGGGCTTCTTTCTGAAACACCACTCAGAATGAATTCTTGGATTTTACTAGAAAATGAGTGCCAACCTCTATTAGTTTTTCCCGATACTCTCTGGCATCTTTATCATATTTCTCTTGCAACTTCTGAGCCGCTGCTTGTTGTGCTGAGAGTCTTGCAGCGAACAGATCAGGGTCTGCAATAAAGTCCAAAGACGCTTTAATGCTCAGAGTTTTCTGGTGGGATTTCATTTAGTTACTTTTGTGGTACTTGGCTTCATATTCGGAAATTTCCTTTCGTTTCCTGTACTGTTCATAGCTTCCATACAATTTTCCTAAGGCTGGGCCTAGGAATTTTGTAAATAGGTAAGCGAATGCTATGGCCCCGATCAATATATGCCAAAAATATGTTTGCATCACTGCCAATGTGTAGCCAATAGTTTGGGTCAAATCGGCATATGCTTCTCGTAAGTAATCCACTAAAAACAAACGTTTTGCTTAACTTGGAAACTTGAGGTTTTATGAGATTTGTAGATGTTTTCAGGAAAAGTCCATTTAAAAGCATTTGAGTATTTTCGAATAAACTTGGATTAACAGAGCTTATAAGAGAGCATTGAGCTCAAATTCTATTCTAGAATAACTCATTGATTACTAGAATTGGGGCTTATATTTTGCAAGTTTTTCAGTTAACCTACTTTTCCGAGAAAAAGGTTCTAGAAAAATTCCACCGGTGCTGTTTGCTCCAAATTGATTTTCTGATTATTTGTACTTACTTTTATATCTATTTTAACTTCCCGGATACTCAAAACTTCTTAAATATTTTGAGTTTGTCAAGATCAAATTACAAAACAAATCCTTGAACAGCTGATTGAAATGCCACTGATACGTTGCAGCTTTGTCACGTTGCCTTTGTATTCTGAAAACGAGTGAAAATTCTGTGTTTTGACTTCATTAAGTTTAGCAATTAAGATGCGCTGTTTTTGCGAAAAAGGCCCACAATATAAAAAATGACTAGGCGAAATTAATTGTAAGTTTACGTGAAAAATAATTATAATCATTGTAGTGGTTTCAACCTAATTCCTAAAGAATCGGTGCAAGCTGGCAACATTACAATGTTTACAAAACATCTGGTTAAATAATAATGGCTTAACGGTGTTAAATATTTAATTGTATATACATTTCTATTTAAAACAACACCAATAATACGAAAACTCCATACACCAAGGCAGAGGGATACATGATTAAAGGCTGCTGTTGCTTATCGCCTGAAACTGCAACAAACAACCTGGAGGCTGAAAAGCTGGCCCAGAAGACAGCACAGCCAGCTAAAATGATGCCCACGAGTCCGCTTAGCTTGAAAAACACGCCAAGGAACGATAAAGCCACTATTGGGATCAAGCAATAGCCCAGAATTGAAGCGACTGTGCTAAAGGTAAGTGTCTTTTCAGCACTGGACATCAGGGAAAGAAGACAGTATGTTAAGATGCACGATATCATGGAAAATCCATAAATGTATCCAAAGGATTGGGACTTTCCTGCTAAGAGCAATAGCATAGCCAGGGCCAGACAGAAGAACACCGGACCAGCCAAGTCGGCGTCTTTAGTCAAATATTCGGCATCGTCTGCTAAACTATGTCCTCTGAGTGGGTTCAGAACGGCCAAAACCTTCTCCAGAATCCGGTCTGGGAATATTTCCAGTTCCTCCAACAGCGGGGGCTCTACGAACTCCTCGTCAGTGTCTCTGCTGGTGTCATAGTCATTAGGGTTGTAAAAAGTGGTTGGTTGATACTGAGCAAACTGCTGATTGACGAAATCTTCTTGGGGGTTGAATTCTACAAATAATTCAGCTGATAACTTGGGATTGATTGATTATTTTGAGCCCTTACCTAGTTGCTGGTTGGAAAATTGCTGAAAATCATGTTCGTAATAGCCTTGTTGTAAAGGTACTTCAGCCTGGTTGTTCCAGTAGAACTCTTGACCCCCAAAATCTCCCATTCTGGAATTTAATCAATTTAAAGGGATGCTTGTTGGAAGAGAACAATGTTTTGGCTACGACACGTCAGTGTCAAACAGCTGTATGTCACTGTGGATTAATTTGCTTTATTACTCTGACGTCAACGAAGCTAATTAGACCGATATTTTGGTTATGGATTTTCTTATATAAACTCAATTAAAAGCTCACATGGGATATCGACTGAATGAACTAAAAAGTATTGATTTTTTATTCATCCAAACTATCGCGCCACACACACGAGAATTTTAGTTATAAAACAGCTTATGATGGTTGCTGGGACTCTATTGGAGGTGATTGCGTCGATAAGGTAGAGCGCCCAGATGAATCAATAATTGCTTGGTACCACGCCACTGCGACCTCTGAGGGGACGCCTTAGGAATTAAATTGATTATTCGCCCGCCTCCCGCCACTACTACCGATCTCGAATCCTCCTCCGTTGCCATTCTACGTTTATTAGAAAACTTGCGACCTCCATTCGCCCGGACTGCGCACGCTGTATAAGCAGCATTTACCTCCGTTTTTTAACAATTGCTCTGTTGTTTTCTGCATTTTTTCCATATTTTCAGTATTTATAATATTATCAGCTTTCAGTCGTATACATTTTTTTACATAGAAAGTAGGGATTCTGGGCAATAGGGCGAAATTTCAAACTTAGCGCCCAAGCACAAATGCGCTGTCTGCAGGCCGAAATGCGAACCCTCAGTTCGATATGTTTGAAGCAGCTTTTATAAGATGGAGCCAACATTTTAATAATAAAGAAAAGGTCAGTAAATTTAAATTAAAAACTCCAGAAAATGAAGAAAACCAAGTGCCGTGTCATTGTTCTCAGTGCGATAGTTATGTGAGAAATTATAGGGATTGCCTTGATTCGGCCTTTTGGACATGTTTGATCTTGTTCCCCTCAGTTATGTCAACTCTTTTGTTATTATTGGATGACATTTTTGTGGAAAGTTATCCAAAGTTTTCCAGACAAATCAAATTTCTGATCGGAAAATCTGGCTGGGTTTAACGATGCAGACTCAGTGAGCATGCAACTTACCACCATAGATTGTTAGGTTAACTTACACTAGCTTTCTTGGGGGACTTTCTACTATGCCTGTTACTTCACTGTATGCTTCGGTGGCTCAAAATTGGCCCCATTTTGATGCTGGTTTTTGAGCAACTGGGGTCTTTAATGCCCTCGGCAAAAAGTCATTTCTCACTTTGGTTGTTAAACCATATAAACAATCAACTTAGTTGTTATGTTAGCTTTCATTATCTATGTTCGCCAGAGCCAGCAGTAGCAGTTTCCCTTGAGTAGAGTTCACATTTTTAGGTACTCAATTAATTTTGTTTTTACTTTACATCACACCACTTTTGACTGTTTGTTTATATACCTATTTGATAAAGCTTGTTTGTCTAGACGAATGAAACTGGTTTCTTTTACTAGAACAATAAGCGAGCTGTTGCTTGATATAGACAATGAGCTCGTAATTATCTTCAACTTAAAGTAGGACTGTGACTTATTAGTTTTTTTATTTGCCTTAGTTTCTTGGGCTGTTAGAGTATCTGAAAAACACTTTTTGCGTCAGATGCTCGATCGAAAGAGTTCGAATTAACATGCGGATATCTGCAACTTTGGCAGTATTTGTACATGATTCTTTAATTAGTGTTTCATAATAGGCGCAAAGTATCTTCCGTATGTGACCGTATAATCAAAGTCCTTCTTTTTTTCTAGATTGGATAAATACATTGAATCACCATGGTTGAGACTAGTAAGCAAGTTCGGTTGGACAACTGGGGCATTTACTTTCTTCAACGCCTCCAACTGTTTTTCTCCAAAACCGATTATTGCGACCTTACACTTCAATTCGAAGGAAATGTTCAACTCAAAGTTCACCGTTTGGTCATGAACGCTTGTACCGAATATTTCGCATTTTTGGAGCAATCGTATCCGGCCCTTGAAGAGAATACCATCATGATGCCCTCAGATCTTCAGGCGGATGTGATTGTGCCAATTGTTAACTTCATGTACACTGGTAGGTGTACGTTTAATGCAAATTGGAAGCTTTGTATTAAGTCAACGTTTCTAGGAATGTTGGAGTTTCATCCCAGCATTTATAAGAAACTGTACAGAGCGGCGGAAATAATGAACATGGTAGTTCTAATTAAACTGCTAGAAGCTCAGCTGATGCCAGGGTGCAAATTGCCTAATAAAATGAAGAAAGATCGGGATCGAGAACCGTTGGACGCAGTAAGGGAACCCAAAGAATGTAAGATGGGGAGTCTAATAGAGACACAATGAATGTTCAGGTTGTGGATTTTAGTTAAGAAGCAGCCCAAGCCATCGCCCCCATTAGTGAACGAATCGACATCGCCTGTACCTTTTAAGAAAGTGCCATGGAAGAGGAAAACTTCTTCTCTGCAGTCCCATCCTGCTTCGGCTACCTACAGTAATACCAGATGGAATTCGGACCCGGTTGAAAGAGACAGTGCATCGGTAACATTTGAAGTTCCCGTACGCTTAAAGCCAACCCCTACATAAAATCCTCTTTAATAGATGGCCGACAATACCCCAAAACCCACGCGGTTTGAATGGCCGGACGATTTGCCTCCCATGGCAGTGTATTCCAGCTTCGATGTAAGCTTAACCAGCAAACCATTATGGACCGAGCAAGATAATCACAAATCAGGTACGAGTGGAGCAGTCTCAAAAGTTCTTTTAACCGAGTGTATTTTTCTATCGGTAAAAGATCACAAGGTGCAGCAGTATTCCAGAAAACGCACTAGCCACAGCAATGATGAAGATGTTGATGACCCATATATGGACAAGGACGTGAATATTTCACAATTGGATGATTCCCGTGATGGGTCCATGAAAAGAAAGGCTGATATAAAAGCTTCACCTTCACCTAAACGGTACTGCTTGGTATTGGTTATCATAAACACTTCTCTAATTGCTGATTTATAGAGTGAAAATATCTAATCAAGACGATGAAACTATTATCAGCATAACAACTAGCAACCCTAGTGAGGTGGATCATACCAAAATCGTATCAGAGATTTTGAAGAAGTACCCGGATTTGGTGAAAAAGAAAAAGAATATCAAGCTCAGAATCTCTCAGTCCAAGCCGGAGCAGCCTTCACAAATCAAGGTCCAAGTGGGGAGAGAAAAATCAGTTTCAAAACCTGTTGAGGTATGCCTTTAACTATCTTGTTTTCAATAAGTTTGACTGGGTGAATTTTTAATAGGGTTCTGCATCAACAGAAAAGGCTCTAGTCAAAGAAACGAAAAGAGAGTCTGCAGTTTCAAAAGAATCTTCATCTAAAGACATTTTGTCGAGTAGAAAAAAACCCAAAAGTGTAATGTTTAAAGCTGACAGTGAAGAAGGTCCATGGACCTGCTTGGAATGTCGCGGTAGGATTTTAAAGCTGAGTGATAAAATGCATTTATTCAGAAATTCGGGATTTTTAGGCGAGGAACGAGAAGGTTCAAAGTTTGTTCTCTATTATCTTTTCCGCAAACATATGACCGATCAGCATCAGATCGAATTTGATTCATCATTTTGTAAATATTGCGGCAAAGTTTGTTCAAAGGAAAAGCTGATGATTTACCATCTATACACGAAACATGGATTGAAACTACCAAAAGATGTAACCTTCCCAAATTGCCACACTTGCCCGTTCATAGGTGCGATTCTCCCTACGCAATCTACGCTTCAGTGTACAATAATTGTCATTATTTCTAGCGGTAACAAATGAACAACTAGCTACCCATTTAAACACCCATGGGGACGAAGACGTGCAATGCTTGAACTGCCAGCTGGGATTCAAGTCTAAAAAGGACCTCCAAGGGCATCAGCAGATGACCGGCCATTTGAATAAAGCTTGTGAGTCTACATTTGCCGTAATTAAATGTAAATTGCTCGGGTCATTGTTTCCTTTCCTTTAGCTACTATTCTGCAATGCGCCTACTGCAAGAAGAAACTGCAATCGCCAGTAACGTTGTTCACTCACGTTCGCGTTCAGCACATGAAAGACGCCCGCAGAGATGGAATAGTCAGTCTGGATGAAATTATGGATATTCAAAACGACGACAATGACGATGAGATTCAAGCGAACGAAGGTGAAGCGCTTGAACAAATTCATGACCATCCTGCTGTTGAAAAGGTCGAGGAGAAAGTTCAGCACAAGTCGTTTTTAAAAGAAAGGGTAATCTGGTTTGCCTCAGTCGGTCAAGGTATCCAGTAAACTCATTGTTGTGTTGCAGATCAAGTTGATATCCAACGTGAAAGTGGAGCGTCTGGATGAAAGTTCTGCAGGAAAGTTGGGTTCCAATGCGCGCATTAGAGAGGCAAAGTCCAATGCGGAACCCGTTGCTGTAACTGCGGCTGCTGCTACTCTTAGTAATTTAGGAGGAAGCTTAGCGACCAATTTAGGTGAGATTTAATTAAGGGTTTTAAATGTTGACTAACGTGTTTCTGCATTATTTTACAGGGTTGGTGGACATTGTAGTTCTCGATGATAACCAGCAGTATATTCTGCAGCAGCCCCAAGGGCAATCAGGCGATACAGAATTTATTTTGCCCCCAGAATTGACTGGAAGCGAAGGTTAGCTGAACTTTCCTAGTTTTGTAACAGCAAATATCAATAAACTATGTACTTCAGGTATACTACAAGCAGCTGCCGCTACTGGAGAACTCAATTCAACTGATGAATTAGTGATGGTTTTAACTGACGATTATCAAGACGAGCAAAGTCAGGACCAGTCAGATAATTCAAATATTGTGGTTCTATACAGTCATCCAGTAGATGGACAACAGGGGCAATTCATCACGTCACAAGTAAGTTATGGATATGCGACAAGTTTATTTGGAAAACTAATTATTTCTTTTAGGGAAACTTGCTGGTTAATTCCGAGGGAATGCTGGAAATAAGAAATGGGGCTGCAATAACAACAACCGCAGGCCAACTGCTGGTAAATAATGGCAGCACTACTACAACTCAAGCAGCAGAGTCGCCAATTGAATCCATAGATCTGATACGAAGAGAAATTGAGGCTTCAGAGGATATTCAACGTGAAGATATTAAAAATGTTTTAAGTGAAAAAGGTACTTAACGGGTCTGCGCACAACGTTTTCCTGTTGCTTATCTTGCAATCATTCAGTTGTAGAGCCAGAGATTGAGAAAAAAGAAACAGAAGAATCTACACCCATAGTTGAAATAAGCAATCATCAAACAGATAACAATTTCGTTTCTAATTACGTGCAAGAAGAAAAAAATGCAGACACTACATTAGATATGACTGATTCTTCCACCCAGGATGAAGCTATACCAATGGAAATGAATGATCTTCAGCTTTCGAGTGAAACAGGCACGGATGGGCAAATCATGTCGCAGGATGAGCCGCAAATTCCTATTCAAGACCCTGAAAATGTGGAGGGTAGCATGAGTACACCCGTGCCAGCATCAAGCCAAGGTAAACTATTATTATTTGGGGTCAGAAAAATTTTAATTCAATTTTCGCATTTATAGTAGCTGAAGAGGCCAGTACATGTTTGGTAAATCAACCGATACTAAAACCTGAAAGCTTAAACTTAGAAGGTGAACTTTTGATGAATGCTCCACAAAACTTCCAGTCATCGATTCATGAAATTAGTGAAAATGTTGAGCCGATGGAAGTTGATACCGAGCAAATGCCTAACGAAACTTTATGTAATACCAAAGATGAAGCTGGCGTTGATGAAATCGATAACACATTGTCCAATACTGTAGATGCTCCCAACGAAAATTCCCAAGAATATTTAAAAGTTAATGACGCTGAACCTTTAAAGGAAGAAAGCGTGCAAAAGCTCAAGAATAATGAAGAAGCTAATTTCGAACAGAGTATCTGTGCAGCCGGTGCAGATATCTGTGAGGAAAATGAAAACCCTGTTTCAAGTGAGAATCATGAGCACGGTGAGCCAGTGGGGGAAAATAACCCTAATGACTCGAACGATAATTTGCAAGACAGCTACGGTGCTTTTACGGAAGAGACTCAACGGAGTTCAACTGAAACGTCGCAAAAAGACTTGAATAAGGAAATTTTGGAAGACTGGGACGATACTGATAGTCAACAGAGCCAAACTCAAGAACAACAGGCGCAAGATGCTGCTCTAATTAACGGTAAGGTGGTAAAGGTTTCAAGTTGGTATTCAAAGCGTCTTAATTTATCTTTATTGCTTTTTTAGTTTCTGAAAACGTAAGTGAACTAATGGATGATTGGGAAGAAGAAGATGAAGATCAAACCAAAGGCTAATGCAACGTCTTTGATGTTAATAGCTCTTTATAGCTGATTAATATGTTGCCTTGATTTGATTTGAGGCAGTTTTATTGAAAACTGAAGGAAACCCATTTTATTATTCTGTTTTTGTATATACAAATGATGGCTTCTTATTTTGATTATGCCATTATCAAGGACTTTATATGGGAAAAGGGTCGTTTACGTATATAGCAAATCATTGCTATGGTTTTTGAAAAAAATGACGTTAGTTTTGGGTAACTCAAATTGCCGCATCAACAATAGACGAATAATTAATAAGCGCATTATTTTTTCCTTCTAATCGGCTGTATATAAACATTTATAGGCCTTATAGAATAGATTAAATATTACATGTGGAATGGATTTAACTTTAGTAGTAGTACATACTTTTTCAGTGTACGGAGATGACGATACATACTTTTGATTCGGAAATAATGTTTATTAGTTTGAAAGTTCTTGTCTGAAAAATTATTATATTTTCATATACACTTACTATCCACCGCTAGAGTGTATTCTTCATTGATGTGGGGACTGTCCAATCACCTCCAAGGGTACAATAGATAGAATTTATTTAATTTTTTGTTTTTATTAAAATGTTTTATTGCCTGCAGACGGATTTTTCGGGTTTAGTCAATTGAAAATTACAGCAGTTGGTCAGCAGAATATAATTGATTGAAATAAAACGTAACAGCGATGAAGATAAATAATTTATTGGCGGTTTTTATATTACAATTTGTATAAAATTATACATACTATACGGTAAATATAAATGTTATAAACAAACATCATTTCATCTAAGCGCATTATTATAAATTAATTATTTACAAGTTAGATAGTAGTTGGTTCTGACCAGAAATACTCGTGAAACACAGACAAAACGAATCAACGAACGAATAAAAATAATGGTTGCTTAGGCAGGCTGTACCAAACTAATGGGTTTTGATAACGACCTGTATAAATGTTTAGGCTTTGTATAACAAGGCCCCCTATAAAAGCGTAACATTTAAAACACCGGTCCTTGGTATATGTATATTCAAAAATTGCACGAAAACTGCGTATAAAAAGCTGTTCTATTCACAATACTTAATATGTATATTTCTCAAAATATAGCACTTTTATAGTTTTTTGTTTCGCCTATATTAAGCTGGAAACAGGCGAAGTAAAAAACTGCGACTGTAAAAATTTTCTGTATAGTCGTAGTGTTTTTTTAACAGTGGAGTTTTGTCATGGTGTTTAAAATGTGTCTACGTTTTGCGTTTGCATATCGAATGAGTGAACTTAGTGAAAGTAGAGGTCTCTCCTAAAATATAGTGCTTCATTCAAAATAATGCAGGTTTTGATGGGCATATTTTTCGAGAGAAATCTAAAATCCAAAGTCATTATGGTTTCAAGCTTAGACTAGTTTTGTACAGATCAGTTAAGGAAAAGAGCAAGTGAATTTGCAATAGTGCGCCTTGACTTGACTAAACTGTACAAAATGAAAGCAGATCCCAGATCTATCGTCAGTTGTTGGGATTTTTATTTGAAAAGGTCGATAAAAAGAAGCATTGTAGAAGAAGAAAATAGAATAATTGTCTTGGCGCAAAAACATATTTCGTAACTTGCTCAAAAGGTGTATTGCTCACGTCAACACGCCCTACACTTTTGTTTCGTTTAACTCAAAGTTTGAATTTATATCCAATAAACACCCGAGTTTCCTTGCCTGGGCAGTAAGAATAAATCGAAAAAAAGATTATTAAGGTATTTTCAAGGCGATAGATCAAGGAGCTACTGGCTTTTGAATCAAACTGCGTTGGTATTTAGTGGGTAGATAATTCAAAAGGCTTTTTATATCCTTGAATGCATAAAAAACCTGTGAATTATTTAGGAACAAAATTGCCAAACACGCACATACTTCTTAGCCTTTTCAACTTATTATGAAACGCTTTCCGTGCCCGCATTCGAACTGTGCGTTACGTTCGAGTCCAAACTATTGCAATCCGAATCGTTCGAATGGGGGCTGGAATAGTTGGCAGCCTCTTGCAGCCTCATCAGCATGTTCAGCAGCGGATCGCCGTCGCTTTCAGCTTGAGCATTAGCGTTTGATTCCAGGCCCACATCTTTCGCAGAAATGGTGGTCAGGCCTTGAGGAGGAGCCCCCGGCCAAGGATAAGTGTCCAGAATAAATTGGGCTGGATCGTTCCAGGACGCACGTCGCCCATACAGTTGCAACCCTTCGCGGGCCGCCTCACGCAAGTATGGCGCAAGCGAGTAGTTCCAAACGTCTGCAAACCATGCTCGTGCGGCATCCAACTCCAGCGGACAACCTGTGAAAGGGCACAGTTAGCGAAAAGTGCCAACAAAATTGCGAAAGTTTGTACTTAAGAAGAGCCGGGGGCCGATGGCCACGTCTCCGCTACTGTGCGTCTCTAAGAAGGCGTTCAGGTGCTGCCAAACTCTGGGCAACCATCCCAGAATGGCTGCTAGTTCTGGCTGAGGGCCTTGCTCTAGTTCCAGCGCGGCCAAGCGTCTTCTGAGCACTCGCCCTAAGAGGCCTCGAGCTGGTTCCATGTGTGGGGCCACTAAGACCCATCTGGAAGGAATGATATGCATCAAAATAGGTTCCAACTACCAGAAGATTTTCCCCACTATTTGAAGAGTGCAGGGGCAGGGTGACCCAAATTGGAGCGTTTAAATGGAAACTCCTATTTCTATACCAGATAGACAAATGTGAGGTCGGTGTGTGATAGGCCTGGACAGCTCAGTGCATTCTTAGGAGTTGGCGCAGTGCTACGCAAGTGGCTTGGTGCGCCAACCCAACGCACCGGCGGAGTAACTCAGTTCTGTTGCTGGGAAAATGTTGATGACTTTATTCACTTGTTTTTGGATTTATTTTATGGACCATTTATTAATAATATTTTTGAAATTTCTTCTAAATTTCTGAATTTTCCAGTTCTAGTCAAGTTAATCTTTCTTCTAAATGCTAAATTTTCTAAAGTTTCACTTAAAAGCTGACTTAAGGTATTTCTTGTGAAAAATTATGAAATTAATTTCGAATTCTTGGTAGCTTTGTGAAACGTGTTGAAATCCCTTTCCAGCGTCGAATTTGGATCAAAAATAAATAATTTTCTAATAAAAAACGAACAGAATGACACGATCGCAACACACACGAAATCTCGTCACCCCAATTGCTCTGAAGGCTGTAGAGTTAAAAAAAGTGGTTTTTTAAGTTTGACTGAATTTTTTTTGCTGTACTTTCTACTCAAAAACGCTCTATTTTGTAGAGTTTCACTTTAAAATACTGACCATCTGGGGGACTTCTACGCGCAAAAATACAAGAGAAATTTATAGCTTTTTAAAAATTGTACAAAAATTTTTTTCAGCGTCTTAAATTATTATTAACTTAAATTTTATTATTATTATTAGCGTTATTAACTTAAATAAATTCCTCCCGTTTTTCCTCGAAAACCATTAGGGTTTTCTCCAAAACTGATCACAAAACTAAAAGTTTTTATAAACTTCTTTTTGGGTATTTTGCCTCAAAAATTTTTACTGTATTATCCTACTATTGTTACACAATTTATTAACATACTCTTTTTTAGGTTCATTTAGGTTCTTTTGATAACGATAGCAGAAAATAGCT